CCAGGCAAGATCAACTTGTTATTCTCCGCCCCGTTGGGCTGCAAATCTTTCCTAGGAGGGATGCATTAGGCTTAACAAGAAAATGGGCTTTAAGAAATAATAAATGGGATGTAATTATAAAAACTGGGCAGTAACTATAAAAAATGAACCAAACACGTAATTACTTTATAAAATATTATTTTTGGATTTTAAAAATTTTAATTTCATTAATTGTTGCGCGTGCAATGTTTCGTTGGATTTTTACGTAATATAAATTTATATTGAAATTGTATTTAATCTGACTAGAAATTTTGGAATAAAAATATTTTGGATCCCATCAAAATGTGGGAAATTTTATTTAATTCTGTTTTGAACGGTTGGTTGAAATTATTAATCATTGTCCTAGCTAGAAAATGGGTTGTACATTTAACAAGTTGTAAATGGGCTGTAGTAAATTCCATTACAATTCAAAAATGGGATGTACATTCTTATAAATCTCAAATGGGAAATAAGTTTGCTGTCACACACTTATGGGCCTACTAAGATTGACGCGTCCCCTCAAAAAAAATAAGTTGACGCATATGCAAGGCTTTGTTAACTTATAGTCAACACACGGTTTCAACAGCAGTGGCCGTTGGATGTCCATCCAACGGATATCGTGCTTCTTCTTCCATCTCGGATATTCTAGCTTCACCCGCCCAAAAAATGATTCATCCCCCTGACATCTGGGGCGCACCGTTTCGGAAGATGACCTGTGGGCGTACTAAGTTGACGCGTACCAAGGGCTTTGTCAACTTAGTCAATATAAACGATTCTAGCTGTAGTGACCGTACGATGTCCATCCAACGGCCGTCGTGCTTCTTCAACCTCTGGTCTTCTTGCTCCAGCTGCCCAAAGATGCGTCCGTCGTGCCGCTTGCACCTGCCTCTCGTGGCCAGGTGTGCTTTCGCGGAGGCCTCACCACCTCCTATTACTCCCACCTCTGGCCACGCCATCACTCCACTCACCCACACCCCCTGTTATTCTGCGGAGACAGCATCCTCATACCGCAGCCGAACCAGTGAACTCGTACTCCTCTCCGCGTGGGCATCCACTACCGCGTTTTCCCCCGCTCCACGGCATCCCCTTTCTAGGCCTCGTCGTCATCCACCGCCTTGGTGCTCTCGGCGCGGCGTGGTCAATGTGGTCAACGACCGACTTCCATCGGAAGAGTACTGTACGTGGAGAGGCTGACAGCTGGGTCAATGGCCGCAGAAAGGAAGTGCCTTCTTATTACGTGGAAAATAATGATTCCTCCACCTGACAGCAGGAACCCACCGGACGGACCACCCTATTTTGCGAAAAAGACGTTTCCCCCCTGACGGCTGGGACCTACCAGCTACATCTTCACACGCAAGGAAATGCGTCCATATTACTGGCAAAAAAAATGATTCGCCCCAGACTGCTGGGACCCACCAGCTACATCTTCGCACGCAAGAAAGTGCCTGACAGTCGGGACCCACCTGGTCGAAGCATACGTAGCATTGTCATTCTGGTCACGAACGTGTGCGTACATACGATCGGTCTGTCTGCTGCAGCGATGAACCGTGGTCGTGTAAGGAAGGGCACGTGTCGCAGTAGAGGCGCGCACGTAGTATGTACACGTACTTACAGTGGTCAGGCTGCAAGAAAGAAAATACGGCCACATACGTACATACGGGCGGGGTCTCAAACGCGTACTCGCGCATATATATACAGACGGCCAGGACTTGTGTACATGGAGAGGCAACGGACGGCAACAACGACATCCTGTTCATCGGGCAGCGAACCGGCTGGGTCGGAACGGAGGAACAACGTCCTGTTCATCGGGAGGCAACCGACTGGGTCGGAATACATTATGTTCATCGGGAGCCAACCGGCTTGGACGGAACAGCCGAATTGTAAAAAAAAAGGCATAAGAACATGGGAGAAGGAAAAAATAAAAATTGGAACAAATACATATTGATGACGTGATGTTTGGTTGTAAAATCCAGTATTCACATTTATATAGTTCATTGTATTTTTTTTATTATGTTTGAGGTGCTTTGTACTTCTGCAATAGACCTGAATCTTTTTCACCAATAAAAACAGTTCTCTCTTTTTAATACTTTTTGGAAACAACGGAAGTTCATTCACAGAAAGCGAGATATGTGTTTTTCAGTTTAATATGGTTCAAATGGAAATTTATAATTCCTCGGGGAACTGATTATTTCTTGTTTAATAAAATTTCATCATATGTGTTGTATCACACTTTTTGTTATAATTGAAACAACGTTTTCACTTTTGGACAAGCAAAGATTGTTTGTTCTTGATTTTAATTTGTGTAATTGTTATTTTAAATATGTAGGTTTTAAGAGTTTCTTGTAGTAATATACTACTCCCTCTGTTCCAAAATTTAGTGCATATTTTGTTTTCTTAAAGTCAAACATGTCTATATTTGACTAAGTTTATTGAAAATTTTATTTACATCTACAATACAAAATTAGTATCATTTGATTCCCACGTAGTGTACTTCTTGATTTTATTTATTTAGTACTTTAGATGTTGAAAGTTTATTCTAAAAACTTGGTCAAAACATAGATATGTTTGACTTTTGAAAAACTAAATTGGATAGTTATGCAACGGAGGGAGTATCAGATTTCTTGCATATTTTTTTCTTTTCTTGTGAAATTTCTTGACTTGCAGTACAGATGCGACAAATACATAGTGGTGATGTGGGTTATATACAAAGTCGACGCGACATCGGATGGCGCTAAGGTTTACAGGCCAAAATCATCCGGACAAAAGATTCTAAGGTTTACATCTATACTTTAAATTTCCGCATAAGCGCGGGGGATTTTATCTAGTTGAATATATAGACAATCCCAAAATATTTCTAACTTGTCTACTAAAAAAACTGGGACTTTGACCCAGCGAAAACTCACACAGCCTCGATCGAGATACATTCGTTGATGTGACCTGTGACTTGATTAGGCTATTGATGGGAAAAGCATGCATTAGGAAAAAGAGCGAAAAAAAAATAGTCTAAACCATGCTATTGCATGGATTGCTTGTTTCAGGCGGAATGAGTAGTTGACTAGCTAGTCTAGAAAACAACGTTTCAGTAGATGCTTAGGGTACAGAGATTGAGATTTGAGCTGATCTTATTCTCATGCTTGTCCTTTAAGATTCGTGATGCGGACTTTTGACTTCTACGTGTGACTGCCCATACACGATCTGACGAGCTAGCTTTTGTTTATATTAGATGCCGACTTTAGCGTTCACGAATAGTCGCACAAGCTGGGATATACCAGCTTAAGATCTCGTCACTTACAAAATAAGCCAGGCCAAGCGTTACCTTTTCTTTTTTGAGAAAAAAACCATACAACTCCTTCTGTCGCAGCTCTCAACTATAATTGTTCATGATTTAGTTAAGAGCTGTGACAGTTTTTCCGGGACAGAGGGTGTAATAATCAATTAAAAGTATACATACAATCATTCCTTACATCATACGTCACGGAAGTTGGATACTAGTAGTAAGAAGAACACTATCGGGCCTATTAGCAAAACTAAACTTCACAATCATTAGCCTTACAATTGATCTTAATGATCTTGAAATTGTTTAGAAGCTTATGATGCTAAGCCCTTCCATCTTTAGATCAACAAAGAAGGATCCGTTCGTGCTCGTTACTCACTCCTGCGAAAGTTATGGAGCCTTTGGTTACTGGATCTACCCGATGGAGATGGTAGCTCGAAATATCTACAACCGGTTTCGATGGCGGTCCAGTAATATGCTAGTTTTTTTGTCATCTCGTCATATTTTCATCGGTTGTGGCAACTTTTACCTATTTTATTACTTTTTTTAGCTCCGAGTGAGCTTGTACTTGACCGCGGACCTTTCAGATACTTTGCTTAATATCATTCTGATGCAGAGGCCCGGGGTGATCCTCCTTTTCTAAAAAAAGGAATTACAAGATAAGAAACCACAAAAGAACAATCAAATTCTAAAATAATGGACTTGTGAAGGTTGATGCCGGTATAGAGATTCGCGAGATGCACATGAAATTCCGCTTCATCAATACTAGCGCACGACTCAATAAAATCTCATGAGGAGATGATGACTTCACCTTTATGATTTTTGGCAACGGTCCTGCTAAAAAACTGTCGACTGAGATTTAACCAAGTCTCAGTCGACCATGTAGCATTTTATACCATCATTTGCAACATTTTTTTCTACCGGTTGTAACATCCATCTTGATGGTTGTAGCATGTCGTCCCTCATCAGTTGTAGTACGTCATCTCAACGGTTGCAACATCTTCATTGACGGTTGTAGCATTTCAGGTAAAACGGTTGTAGCATTTATTTGTTGTTGCTTGCAATGTCGTCGCAACATTTTTCGTCGCCGTTTGTAGCATCTAGTTGTGCCGCTTGTAGCAAAAAAATCACTCTGGCGTCATTCGACTGAGACTTCGTTAAGTCTCAGTCGACTGAATTCTAGACACACCCTTTTGACAATAACCCACGCGCTAGTTGCGTTAATGCTCTTCACAAAACTGGCATCACTGCTTGGTTGGTCAGGCCATTCTCTTCATCAAGCGACATTGCCCAAAGGCGCCTTACAACAACGGGAATACACATTGCATTAGGTACGTAGCTTCGTCGAGAATTGGGGTACATGGGGCGTCGTATCAATATTTTCACTTCTAAGTTATACATGCATCCCTAGTTCTTCCATCGCTGACCAATTATACACACATCGCCTAAGGGCTAAGTCTGCAAGCTAGTTTAACTTGATGCTCACAGTACTTTTCGGATAAGTAAGACGCAATTATCGTACTACTCCACATCGCTGTGCCCGTACTCTCCCACGCGCCATTAGTCTGCCCAACATGCTGGCCTCTAGCCTATAAATGAACACCACCCAGCGCAGGTAACATCAACTGGAACCAGCAACAGCGGCCCAGACCCGCACTTGCTTAGTTGTTCAATTGATTAGCGAGAGACCTTCGATAAGTTGGCAGAAATGGCCCGGTGGGCAGCTGCCGCGGCGTGTGCACTCGGGGCGGCGCTCCTGGGCATGCTAGCGTTCTCGGTATCCGGGCAGTCACCAGCGCCGCTGGCCACCGCGGACGGGGAAGGCGGCAACAGCAGGTTCACGTGCACGGACACCGAGAAGAAGCGGCCCGGGTGCACGGGCATCTGTGTTGGAATAAGCCACGGCGTGTGTGGTCAGGCTCGTTGGGCGTGACGGATGCCCGCGGGATGGGCGGGACGCACTGGTGCCGTCGGGCTCGTCGGGCTCGTCGGGCACGTTGGTAACGCGCAGGACGAGCGGGACGCAGCAGCATGGCGTGTGTGCGTTTGTGTGTAGTGTGTGTGCTCGTGGCTTGTAGTCAGATGGCGACGGAGTAGTATGCAACAGGCGCAGCGAAGCAACCTGACATCGAGGTCGTGCGGACGAGAACTCCAAGCACACGATCGGATGACCGGATCACCAGGAAAAGTCCGTGGGTGCTACGTCTTGGCTAGCTACAAAGCCGGCTGTACGTTGAGGTTGTTAGTGCATGCAGGTGAGCTGCGTACGTGTGTATAGGGAGACTGAGTCGGAGTTAGTTGGCATGGTGGCGTAGGCAACGCAAGGATGGAGTACGTGCTCCAGTAGGTGTGTGTTCCCTGGCCTATAAAAGCCATTGTACTCAGTTGTAAATCGGAGCCGGTTGTAGCGATGTAGCCAGTGCAAAGAGGAAAAAGATTTGGGCGTTCGTGCGCCCGCGGTGGCGCAGAGCGCCGGCCGGAAAATCTCTCGTGTCCATTATTTTTCTTCTTCCACCTCCGTTCGGCGAGAGGAGAGGTAGCTAGAGGGCTGCGGTTTCAACAATTGGTATCAGAGCTTGGTGTCTTGGGCGTGCTTGCCGTGCCGGAGGCGTGGCAGCGATGGCGGCGCTTGCCGGGAGCTGCGCGTTGGAGCTCCGGGTCGTGTGTCGGCCTATGGAGGTGGGCGGCGCTGTGGCTGCCATGGCGCGTGGCGGAGGCGGCGGGCGGTGACGTCGTACGTGCGGCAACCGCGGAGGCCGCCGAGGCGCTGCGTGGTGGCGCGGTGGCGCGTCACGACATGGCGGCATGGAAGCCGCGGCGGTGCAGGGCAATAAGACGCGGCGGCGAGCCGGGCGCGACCGGTGCGTGTTATGGGTGTGCACTGGACGCGTCGGGCGCGTCGGGACCGCGGGAGTGGACCGCGTCGAGGCGCTGGACCTGGTTGCGCAGATCGCGTACGTGCGCGGCGGGAGCGCGGGCCGGGAGCGCGGGGACGTGGGGAGTGCGCGCGAAGGGCACGGCGGTCACGGAGACGAGGAGGTCGCAAAGGACCTGCGTGGTGGCGCACAGGTCGCGACGGCTCGGGGCGACAACCGCGGAAGGTGCGTGGCACGGAGACGCGGCGTGGTGGCGCACGGGACTGCGGGCTGCTGCAACGGCAGCGAGCGGCGGCTTGTGCCGGAGACGCGGTGGAGGCGTACATGGCGACGAGGCGACGACGACGGGGCAGGCCCCTGTCGGCAGGCCGTGCCGCGAGGCCGTGGCTTAGGGGGTGTGTGTTGGAATAAGCCACGGCGTGTGTGGTCGGGCTCGTTGGGCGTGACGGATGCCCGCGGGATGGGCGGGACGCACTGGTGCCGTCGGGCTCGTCGGGCTCATCGGGCACGTCGGTGACGCGCGGGACGAGCGGGACGCAGCAGCATGGCGTGTGTGCGTTTGTGTGTAGTGTGTGTGCTCGTGGCTTGTAGTCAGATGGCGACGGAGTAGTATGCAACAGGCGCAGCGAAGCAACCTGACGTCGAGGTCGTGCGGACGAGAACTCCAAGCACACGATCGGATGACCGGATCACCAGGAAAAGTCCGTGGGTGCTACGTCTTGGCTAGCTACAAAGCCGGTTGTACGTTGAGGTTGTTAGTGCATGCAGGTGAGCTGCGTACGTGTGTATAGGGAGACTGAGTTGGAGTTAGTTGGCATGGTGGCGTAGGCAGCGCAAGGATGGAGTACGTGCTCCAGTAGGTGTGTGTTCCCTGGCCTATAAAAGCCATTGTACTCAGTTGTAAATCGGAGCCGGTTGTAGCGATGTAGCCAGTGTAAAGAGGAAAAAGATTTGGGCGTTCGTGCGCTCGCGGCGGCGCAGAGCGCCGGTCGGAAAATGTCTCGTGTCCACTATTTTTCTTCTTCCACCTCCGTTCGGCGAGAGGAGAGGTAGCTAGAGGGCTGCGGTTCCAACACATCTGCCCCGACAGGTGCCCCCAGAGCTGCATCGCGCTCTGCCCCTCCTGCCAGACATATTGCCGTATGTGTACATCTGTTAGGTCAAACTTTATCGCTACCATCTCATGAATTTCTCAGCCTTTGAGGTGCATTATTCTGTGCAGCTGACCAAGTGCAGCCAGTGCGGCCGGCGTTGTTCGTGTTCGGAGACGGGTCTTTGGACGTCGGCAACAACAACTACATAGAACCCAACGAGGTAGGAGACCCTTGGAGAGCCAATCACTCTTACTACGGCATAGACTTCCCCAAATCCGAGCCCACCGGAAGGTTCAGCAATGGATTCAACATGGCCGACTTCATCGGTATGCTACTTTCATCCCATCATGTTATTCTTATTTTTCATGACTTACTTACTGCTCAAGACATTGACATGACCAATTATGCACATGGTGGGTCTACTTGTTCTAAGGAAAAAGTTCATTTTAGACCCTGAACTCGTAGACGTTCGGCGAAACAAACCCCCAAGTCGAAATCCCGGTCGATTGCACCTTGAACTATGCAATTTCGGTCTAAATCATACCCTGACAAATGTCAGCCGGGATTTGTCTAGCTGGTGGGCCAAGGAGCACCCGTCCTCCGCGCTGGGCCAGCCCATTTATTTATTTTGTTTGCTCAAAAAAATTATCTTTATTTTTCTGTCGCTCTTTTGCGGCAGAATAGCGGATAGCGTCAAACAGGAGAGCTTCCGTGTAGGACTCAGTGCAAACGAGCCGGCCCATTAGCAGGAAACGAGCGAACGTACGCCAGTTGAATTTGAACATGCGACATTTCGCTAGATAGCCGCGACGCCAGCCAGTGCAGCTAGCGATTGGGATTGCTATTAGAGTACAGCGTAAATTTCAAGTAGTATGGTCAGCGGCAGATCCGTTTTTTTTTAATCTTCATTCAAAAGAATGAACAATGTTTTCTTGAAGAAATTTAAAACTCAAACAAACTGTTAAAACGTGAACAATTATTGAAAACATGAACAAAAAATTATATACGACGAACGATTTTCAAATATACATTGAACATTTTTTAAGTGTACGATGAACAATTTTTAACTACACAGCAAACATTCTTGTGATATCCATTGAAATAATTTAAAACATATTGAACAACTTTGTGATATGCGCTGAAAAACCATTTAAATAGCCGTTGAACATTTCTGTTGTACACTGACCAATTTAAAATTGTGATTTTGTTTTTTGAAAAAGTGAATAAATAGCAGCGACGGCAACCACACTAGCTACCTACTCAGTACGTCTATACTGCAGCGCCAATTTTAAAGTACAATGTATCGCGACAGATTTCTTTTTACTTCAAATTTTTCAACATTTCTTGGAAACAAATGTGATTTTTTAAATACGTTCAATTCTTTAAAAATATACTTTGAACATTTTCTACATATGTTGAAAAAATTTAAATAAAAATTGAACATTTTCGTGATATACGCTGAACAATATTTAATACATGTTGAACATTTTTGTGATATCCATTGAAGAATATTTAAATTTCATTGAACATCTTTGTAAGATAATGTTTTTTAAGTCAGTTCTATGTTTTAATTTAGAACAAATATTTGTAAACCGAAAAAACAGCACGGGGTCACGTGTTCAAGGCACACCGTGCACTTTTTTTAACAAGAAAAAAAGAAAAGGTGGGCCAGCCCAGCAGAGCAAGGTGTAGCGCCCTTTGTGAATTTTTATTTCTTAACGGCAAAAAAATAAAGCGGGCCGGCCCAGCAGGGTGGAGGTGTGTGCCCTCAGCGAAATGCCAGCGATCCTGGCCATCCAAACGACTCGAAGGTTTGATTTAGACTGGGATTGCATAGTTCATGGTGCAATCGACCGGGATTTCGACTTGGGGGTTCGTTTCGCCAAACGTCTGCGAGTTCAGAGTTTAAAATGGACTTTTTCCTTGTTCTAAACATTACTACTTGATATGAAGGCCTTAGACGTGGGATCGATGTAGGCCGCATAATTGTTTTTAATGCTGTGTTGGCAGGGTCTTGAACTCAAGACCTCTTGGCTCGGATACCATATTGAATTCATGCTTCAGCTAACTCATCCAAAAGTCCGAACTGATGAAGAGAGGCGGTCAATATATTTCAACACAGTCTTCAATTTAGTATATTCTTATTTTCTCATGTATTGTCTTAGCTTGCTTTACTTTACATATAGCAGTTGAAAAACATACTCAAAGATAACACCATATATGATACCCGGAAAAAAAAAGATAACACCATATATGCTATCAGCTTCCAAGAAATGTAATAAGACATGAAGTTAAATAAACCAGTTATATGGGATAAAAATTCCATTATGGTTTGAAAACTACTCCCTCTCTATGTCAAAGTATAGTGCATATTAGTTTTGTCTGAAGTCTAACCTCATAAACTTTGACTATGTTTATAAGAAAATTTATCAACATCTACAAGACCAAATCAATACTATTAGATTCATTATGAAATATACTTGCATATCATATATATTTGGTATTGTAAAATATTCATATTCTTTTACAAAATTTACAATGTTTGACTTAAGAAAAATCTAATATGCTATATTTTGGCATGGAGTGAGCACTGAATACCATCTTCATTTCAAATTGCAAGGCATATAATTGTTCGATGTTTCTCCTTGTTCACTCCTACTAATTGCAGATTCTACTCTTTTATGCAAATAAGCATGGCTACTTTCTCTTTTCTTTGTTTTGGTTTCATTAGCATTTTAATTTTTATGACGACTCAAAATATGCATTGTAGTCTGAAATCAAGAAGAGTATCCAAATTTTTAAAAGGAATGGATATACTAGCTAAGTTATCCAGTTTTTTCAAAGAACATTGGTCAACCAGTGGGTATATCTTTGATTGATATGCAGCAATGGCTATGGGATTCGAGATGAGCCCTCCTGCTTATATGTCTCTTAATAGTCCCCCAAAAATTGATGCCGGTTTCGCTGGAGTCAACTATGCTTCCGCGACCGCTGGGATTTGGAGAGACAGCGTAAGTGGACACTTTCATAAGCATGCATGTGCATTTGAACGTCTATATTTTTAAGGAATGCATATACTTTTATATCCTTATCTTCAGTTATCATATGCCTTACACCGATAGGTAGAGTGCTATTTCAGGAATATGTGAGCATAAAATAATTCATATGCATATATTTGGCCGCATGACATACAAGGACCATTGCGACAACATCATAGGCTTTGTACACATCAATTGTTGCAATACAGAGTGTTTGATAGCTAGTTATAGGGGGTTGATGGACATCAACTACAATTAATCACAAAATGTTGTTTGTAGGACGATGGACTGAACATTCCATTGACAGACCAAATAAAGTACTTCGCCACCACAATAGAGAAGATGGAGGCCAACCGTAGCCGGCAAGAGTTGAGCAAGATGTTGTCCAATTCCCTCTTCCTCATCAGCATCGGCACCAGTGACCTGAACTACATGTACAACATCATGACCAGACCGGAGCCGGATAACAAAACTGACATCCCACACCTCATATCCTCCTACGGGGACAGCATCACGGCCTTGTACAACTTGGGCGCGAGGAAGTTCGGGATAATCAACATCCCGACCTTGTGCACGCCGATGGGTTATACGTGTGATGACCTCATGACCAGTCTCCCCAAGGACTTCAATGACGGCATCAAGCCGCTCATGTCTGGCCTCGCCTCCAACCTCGATGGCCTCCGTTACTCCGTCGCTGACTTCTATGCCTTCTCAGATGCAGTCAGCACAAATCCGTCAGCATACGGTAAAATCATTAAGAATGTCGAATATTCCTGCAATGTCATGAATTCGGCAACTATATTTATGTTGTTATGGCATGTTGATGGATGCACAGGATTTGTGAACACCGGAGCCTCATGCTGCGAAGGCCCATGTGCACCTAACTATAGGCCACCATGTGCCAACCGCATGGAGTATTGGTATTGGGACACCGAGAACCCGACGGAGCAGGCCGCTAAGCTGGCCACAACTACATTTCTTAATGGCACAACCCAATTTACAACGCCCATGAACTTCAAGACGCTGATCAACCAAAAATGATTTATGTTTATGTTTTTGGATTGTATCCACAATAAAAGCGAGCTGATCAACCAAAAGTGATTTATGTTTATGTTTTCGGCTTTTAGTATCCACAATAAAAGCAACTCATCTATGTGAACCATATATATTTCCATTTGCTATGAATTCTAAGGTGTGCATTGTGATGATCATAGCTTTCAATGGTACACTGGCGCGTTGAGTCCGTTGTTGAGTCCTGAACAGTACTGAGAGTTGATGGTGTGCAGTAACCGGTTTTAGAGTTGAGGATTCGGTCCTAAATGAAGTAGTAATTTCAAGGTTGAAAAGTGGATTTCTTTCATCCTTGGATCATTACAATCGTGGTTTACAAGAAAGAAACTAAGCGATCTCTCCGGTTTATAATCTTACCGACTTACAACATATATCTAGGAGCTACGACTAACGAACTCTATACTCTAAGCTTTATCACTTAACATCCTCCTTCAATATCAAGAGTCCAAGTTGAGGTTGTTCTTGAAGGCTTTGGAGTTGTTGAACTTACAGTGGCTTCGTGAAGCCATATGTCCAATAGCTTTAGTAATGTCCAATTTCAGCACAACCGTCGGATCCTCCAAAGCATTCAGACTACGTTGTGCATAGCACCGGCATGAAATTATCGTGTAGTAATCTTCCTGTGCTTTGGTGCTTTCCCACAAGGTTAGGCAGATCCTCAGCAGGCCTATTTGAAAGAATTTTGTCGAAGACCTTTATAGCTCCATGAACTAGACTAACTGGTCTGTAGTCCAGTATGTCAACATCACCATCCATCTTAGAAAGTAGCAAAACCTTGTCCATGCATGTCCCAAGTAGAAAAAGTCATGTGCCCTCAAAAAATCATGCTCAATGATGCTCCAACATGAAGCATTAAATATTTCGATAAATCCATCAGGTTGTCGGAGGCATTGCCTTGATACCTTTCTCCACTTCATCCTCTGAGTAATGGTAGCTTTGGGTTATTGATCCGTGTACACCCATGAATCTAATAATCAAAATGCTGCATGATTGGAATATTTTGCAGAGAAACCCAAAAAGAGAAGAAACAATTATGTGGGGCATAACAACGGTTGAGCTGATCGCTGATGAGGTCTTCAAAGCTACACTTGGGTGGAGGATGATCAACAAGATTGTTGTTGGATGAAGCATCAAAGGAGTCCTTCTGCCAGGCTGAAGATTTTAGATTTCATCGGTTGCCTATCTTTTTATCCAGTAGTAATTTGCTTAATACTTGTTAGAAATGTTGTCTGTTTAAACCATCTCCTGGAGATCCGACTTGTGGAGTCTCAGGATGATGGAGCCTGGAATTTGGCAACTATGTGGGTTATGGACTTATAGTCTGTTGTGGTCTGTGTGGGCAGATGAGGTTAGTTCATGTTGTTCAGGTAGATCATGCATTGTTTATTTTATTTTGCTTTATGCTGGTCCTGGTAGCTGTATAAGACATTGTGGTTTCTTTTAATAGAAATCCGAGAGGAAGCTCTCTTTATCAAAAAAATAACTTAGGTGCTAATTTATTTTTACTCCGAACAAGGTGCCACTTGTTAATATACGTTGTGCAGCCATGAAAGATGGTACATAGGATAACTGGGTACTGGTTTTAGTGATAACAGCCAACAAAACTTTGATTCGTTAACACATCTGCAACACAAAGCTTCAAACATCAGCCAGCAAGTAAAGTGACAATGATTTTCGCCAAAAAAAAAAAAGCGGAAGTCCACGTAGAACGTGGACACTATTTTTTTTTTTTGAAACCGATGGACACTATAGATAGTACAGCAAACTACTCCTGAACGAAGTTCAAACACTAGGAGTGTCAGTTTTGATCGATGTCGCACTGCACCTTGGCAAGAAAGGTCCATGTCCAGAGAAAGTGTTGTTCTAAGCCCGAGCTCAAATGTGCTCGAGTGAACAGTAAAATTAAGAAAAAATGAATACAAATTCAAAACATTCTGATTTTTGTTTGCGAAACATTGATAAGATGTTAGTTGGCTTGCATATGAAACATTTTGGAGCATCTATTTTGTGTTTTTTGCCACGGTTTTCGCGAATGTCATATGGTGATGAATTTTTGCAAGCCAACAAACATTTTGTCAATGTTTCAGACAAAAAAATGAGATCTTATAAAAAAAATCCATTTTTTCCTATTTTACTGTTCACCCGAGCTCACATGAGCTCGGGATTAGGACTGCCAGGTCCCATGTCCAGTCTGACTTTTCTCAAGGGCACACTATCTCGAGGGAACATGTCACACGCCATGGCCCAATAAACCAGTTATTTTAGTAACCAAAGAGATGAATTAATTATTGTCCAAAGAGAAAAACAGTTGCTCAAATCACGCCTTGCAGTCAAAAGCATCGACGAGAACGCTCCCGGTGAGACTCGTCCTTTGTCATGAGCCGGAGGAACAGAATAGCACTGTGATTGAAAAGTTTGTCATGTACCTGACCACTAGCCTCTCCAATGTGACAATGCTAGCAATGGGTAGACCGTAGACCCCCAGTTTTGAAATTGAAAAGAAAAAGGAAACAATGGGCAGACCATTACGTGTGCGCACTGAATCATGCGTTGCAGCGCATGTAGCCATAAACCGTTATTTTCCTCTATGAACATTCAACGCTTACGTTTTCTTGTAATTGTAAGTAATGTTTATGGGTCGGTCCCACGTCATTTTCATCTGCAGCAGTGAAATCCAGGTTTCCCAAGCTTACCAGTAGTACTGATAGTATTTGAGGTCTTGCCGACGACCTGTGTAGGAAGTAGCACATCAATAATTGCTCATGTATACCATTGCCAACACATTGTTGGAATAATTAAAATTTAATTTTACATTTTTCCCTATGCCAGATGATCCTTTTCTTTTTCAGAATAAATATTCCGTTAGTCTTCCAATTATTATTATTTTACTGAGCAGCACCATGAATAGAAAATAACCGAAGGTTCAAAAAACAGTGAAATAAATAAATTTGAATAGAGGATTCAGATACCTCTGTGAAAGACAGCTCCCAAATGCCTTTCTGGTGAGGGTTACACTTACACATCATTTCTGCAGCACAACATAGACCAAAGAAAACCTAGCACTTAAGCTCTGTACCAATGCTGTGCGGACAGTTACCAACCATATTCAGAAAAAATGTGTGGTGGATACAAACTGGATGCCATGGATGACTGAAGGAAGCACCAGCGGTGCAAATCACACCCTGGAGCTTTAATTCAGGACTACACACCAGCCAGCTGAAAGCCTGAAACAAGGGAAAACTCTACGAGGCTGGAACTTGAAAGACAGAGACTACACAGGATAGTTGAACTGTTGACCAGATACAACCAGTTACCACTAAAGAAAGGGACAAGAAGCTGGAGTACTGAGAGAAGGCTATGTGCAACAATGGAATCCATGCTGCAAAGTTGACCACTTTTTTTGTCTTGAGAAAGATATTTGGACCCGGCACCTTTTGTACTAATATAAATACAGCACAGCTTGAGAATAAAGACTTCACAGCTAACTATTCATGGAAGTGACCAGAACCTAACACTTACGTATTGGATTATATTATAGCAGTAAATCGCTTCCTCTGGAGGGTGTACTGCTACTGAATTCCTATAATAGCATTCATCAGTGATCATTCTGAAGATCAACTTGAGTGCCTCGAGACAGCAACCAATATGGATGCGCGCTCTACCTCTCTGCTTCTACTGACTTTGATCCATCTGCTTTTGCGCATCTCGGCTCGCGAATTCCTCTTGCCAGGCTCCTCTCTCTCCATAGAGGATAGCTCCGGCGCCCTCCATTCGCCAAACGGTGCTTTCACCTGCGGCTTCGACAACATCTCCCCAAATGCCTCTGTCTTCTCCATTTGGTTCTCCGACACCGCTGAGAAGACCGTCGTCTGGAGCGCAAATCATCTCCACCCGGTGTACTCCTGGGGATCCCGAGTCATGCTGCATGCAGATGGCAGAATGGTCGTAGAAGATTACAGTGGCCAGCCTGCGTGGGCAAACAATGTCAGCTCCTCATCAAAGGCCGAGCAAGCTCAGCTGCTGGACACCGGAAACCTCGTCGTCAGGGGCCAAGGTGATATCATTCTATGGCAAAGCTTCGATTCTCCTACTGATACGTTGCTGCCCAATCAGAACATTACTGCGGCTACAAAGTTGGTATCTACTCATAGATTACTTGTTCCTGGGCACTACAGCTTCCATTTCGATGATGCGCATTTACTCTCACTGTTTGATGATCAGAAGGATATCTCTTTTATCTATTGGCCAAAGCCAGATCTTACTACCTGGGCAAGGCAAAGAAACCCATTTAGTACCACCACCATTGGGCTTCTTGATAGCTGGGGGTATTTCCATGGAAGTGATAATTTGACTTTTAAGTCTACTGACTGGGGTCTCGGGATTATGAGGAGGCTAACATTGGATTATGATGGCAACCTTCGATTATACAGTCTAGAAAACAGAGAATGGTCAGTCACATGGATAGCATTTCAGACCTGCTTCGTACACGGTCTGTGCGGTATGAATGGAATATGTGTGTATACACCTAGACCTGCTTATGCATGCGCCCCTGGACACGAAATCATCGACCCAAGTGACCGGAGCAAAGGTTGCCGGCCGAAGTTCAACCTCAGTTGTCATGGGCAGGAGATGAAATTTGTGAAGCTACCCTCCACTGACTTCATAGCTTATGATCAAAGTAAGCTTAGCTTAGTTTCCTTCGATACTTGCAAGAAGATATGCATGAATGACTGCAGTTGCAAAGGTTTCTCATACTGGCAAGGAGGTGGATCTTGCTATCCAAAGTCATCCCTTGTTGGTGGTGTAACCAGCCCAGGTTTACCTGGTTCTATCTATCTGAAGCTTCCAAAGACATTACAGGTCTCAGGGTCCTCAATTCCTCAATCACAGCCTTTTGGTCTCAGATATGCTCCTAACTGTAGCGCAAACAACAAGTATTTCACTGCAGATTTTCTGGATATACCTAAGAG